CTGCCCTCCCCTTAAGGTGACCTGTTTTATATTCTTGTCCTTCATTGTTCAGGTGTCTGTTTGTCATTCAGTGGAATTTTTGCCTTGACCTTTGCTCATCTATACAAATTTTAGCAGCTCATTTAAGTTACACAAAAACTCTACTGGGATTCATTTTGAATTTATGGTGGCTTTGAAGAGAATTGTCACCTTCTTGACTGGCGTTTTCCAGCACACTCATGAATCTTTTTACTCCTAGCCCAAGACTTTTGGTTGCCATTTGGCTGGAGCCACTGTCCCTCAATTCTCCATTTAGCCAACACTCTCCTCAGATCTCAGCCTTCCTACCACTGAGATCCTTGTCCCTGGGGGGTCTCCCTCAGAGTCCTGGTGGCAATTGTCCTGATAGGATGAACCAGGTGGTTCTTGGTTTACTATCTACCTCCCACAGGGTGGCAAACTCCTTCTGGACTATGACATTGTCCAGGTCATTCTCCTGGTGTTTTCAGCTCTGACAGATGTAGAGCCCCATTAAATGTTTGTTGAAAGAATGAAGGAAGTATGAGAGGAAGTTCTTTTGGCCCCAAGCATTTGGCTATAGCTGGAGAGATGGTAAAAAAGTTACCCAACTTCCTTTGCCACTCTTTTCTCCTCTGGGAAAGAGGGTGTGATTCATATCTACTTTGTAGGGTGAGCTGAGTTAACTTTTGTCCATGTAAAGCACTTACAGCCACTGCCATGTCCACCCAGTGGTCATGAAACCAGAGTTTTGGACCCGAGACACAAACTCCTGAGACTCCATATGCCAGGTCCAGCCACCTGCCCCTAAATGCCAAATAAAGGGGCATGGAGAAAGCAGAGAAAGGAGATTTATTACACAGCTCGGGACATGCTGTGGGAGAGGCAGAGTAAGCACTCATCTCATCTTCAGGGTACAGACATGAGCTATAGGTTTAAGTAGACAAATGATCTAGAGGCAGGGGACAAAGATATGCATAGTTAAACAGTCCCAGTCACAGGTTTGTTCTGGTTGACCATTATCTCAGTGTTAGAGTTCTGAGAGGGGTTCCGGAGAAGATATTATCACTGTCATCACTTGAGGGGAGCAATCTGGTTCTCATGAAGATACCTGCTCCTGCTTCAGGGTGCAGCCTCATCATTGTAGGTAATTGTCCTCATCTGGAAGGGTGGTCAGTCCTGCAAGTCTCTGCTGTTCCTTATGGGAAGTTTCAGTCCCTTGTCATAAAGATGTTATCAGTTCTGTCCTATCTGAAATCCAAGGTGATTGCAAAGTGACTGCAAAGAGAATGGCTTAGAGTAAAGACAGATACAAAATGGAGGCAGGGATACCAAGCCTTTCCCCTGCTCTTAGTTAATTTATGGGCCCAAGTAAGGAGTCAGTGCTTTTCAGCAAAAAGCAGTTGAAGTACCTCTTTCAGTCAGGACTACCTAAGTGTTTGCCTGGCCCACCTTCCTCTCCAGGAAATTTCCATTTTCACAGGCCTTTGATGCTTGGGCTTTTCCATGAAGTTAACTCATTTTTTATTTAGCTTCTCCCTGGAACTAGCTGTCATACCCCAAGTTTGCGTAAGAGGCAAATGAATCTCAGAAGGACAGAATGACTCATCTAAGACCTTGCACCTAGAAGTCCTGGCCTCAAACCCAATCTATAACCCAATATAATCTTCAAGGTGTATTCCAACTCATTCAGTCAGTAGAATCAGTAGCTTGACTTCGAGAACTACATGGAAAAAAAAGATGGGTGACTTACATTATTTTTATTTTATTTTTCCCCCAAGTAGTTATAAATCTAAAATTGAACATAGGATTCTTTTTAAAAAAATTTATTAGGATATATTCATTGTACAGGAGGGATTCATTGTGACAATTCCAAATAGGCTTATATTGTGCATTGGTTAGATCGACCCTACTGTCTCTCTCCCTCCCCCTCCTACAGCCCCACTTAAGCAATTGCAAGAGGTTTCTTCTGTTTCATATAAGTATATGAAGTCCATCAATCATATACCCTCACCTTAATCTGCTTCATTCACTCCCTCCTCCCCCTCCCACAAGCAACCCTCCCTACACACCAATCTATTTTACAGTCCTGTCTTTCGTTATTAATATTTAAGCCAACATTCCAAGGGCTTTCTTAATGTGTCCTGGCTGTAAATCTACTTTACTTTGGTCCATTCAATCCCTTCCATTGCTCTCTCTTACCCTTTTACCTCCCACCCCCCATTTTAATAGCTTTCAATCACAGATGTCACGTTTTACGATATTGTCGATTCTGTATTATTCTCTTTTCCTTTCCCTGCTTCCCCAAGTTCCATAGAGTTTTTGAACCAAAGGTCCAAACTCCTGAGATTCCATATGCCATGTGCAGCCACCTGCCCCTAAACACCAAAACGGGGCATGGTGAAGGCAGAGAAAGGAGATTTATTACACAGCTCAGAACATGCAGTGGGAAGAGACAGAGTAAGCACTCAGCTCATTATAGCCATCTTCGAGGTACGGACATGAACTGTAGGTTTAAGTAGACAACTGAACGGTGGGGGAGGGGGAGCAAGAGACAAAGATATGCATAGTTAAACAGTCCCAGTCACAGGTGTGGTCTGGTTGACCATTATCTCAGTCCAAGCTTTCCCAGAGGGATTGGAGAAGATGTTATCGCTGTCATCACTTGAGGGGAGCAATCTGGTTCTCATGAGATACCTGCTCCTGCTCCAGGGTGCAGCCTCATCATTGTAGGTAATTGTCCTCATCTGGAGGAGTGGTCTGTCCTGCAAGTCTCTGCTGTTCCTTATGGGAAGTTTCAGTCCCTTGTCATAAAGATGTTATCAGTTCTGTCCTTTCTGGAATTCAAGGTGATCGCAAAATGACTGCAAAGAGAATGGCTTAGAGTAAAGACAGATACAAAATGGAGGCAGGGATGCCAAGCTTCTCCTGTTTTTAGTTAATTCATAGGCCCAAGTAAGGAGTCAGTGCTTTTCAGCAAAAGGAATTTGAGGGCCTCTTACAAAACCTTCAAAACAAACACAGACAGACCCTCAAACCAATTTAAAAATTCAAATCAATATTAAATAAGGGACTGGTTAACTTCTGACATTGGGTTAACAGTAGCAGAGTGTACTAAGAGTAGCTAAGAGCACTTTAGCTGTGGCAGAGTGGAAGTGTCATATTCTCTTTTGATTTTGATCACAAAGGGCCATCATTTGAGCTACTGTAAGAGGTGCTCAAACTGCTTTCACTGCAGTCACCTTGGATTCCAGGAAAGACAGATAATATCTTCATGACAGAGGGCAGAAACTACACCCAACAGTAGACCTTCCTTTGGAAGGACCACCTGACATCTTCGAGAACAAAGACTAAGATGACCCACCAGGCCACACCTGTGACTGGACTGTTTAACTATGCATACCTTTTGTCCCCTGCCCCTAAGTCTTTGTCTATTTAAACCTATAACTCATGTCTGTAACCCAAAGATGGGCTGAATGCTCACTCTGTCTCTTAACCACCATGGCAGGTCCTGAGCCACGTAATAAAACTCCTTTCTCTGCCTTCACCATGTCTCTTTATTTTGCATTTAGAGGTAGGTAGCTGGACCTGGCATATGGAATCTCAGGAGTTTGGGCCTTGGGCCCAAAACTCCAGTTTCACTACCATCATTTTCATTATCATAGTTTTCTTTTAAACAAAAAAGTTTATAATCAAGTTGGATGGGTTGAGCATTCACAAATGCAATGATGAAGAATGAGAAATACAGCACATAGCCTAGCATCACTGTGTATTTGTTGTGGTGCTCAATGCCAATGAACTATGGTGAGTGCGTTCACAAAAGACAAGAATCCACCATTTACCCTCTAGCAAAGGGCCCATTGTGCTGGCTGCCTCCAGCTCCTCATTCCTGAGCTGCTTTCCTCCACCCCACCCACAGGAAACTCCATTCTCCTAAAATCTATGACGTCACCTGGTGGGCTTGTGTGTCCTTCAAGCATTCAACCAGTCCTCCCTTTCTTCTTCATTAGTATGTGACAATTAACAATATACATCACACCTGTGCTCTGTGCCATTTTCATGAGGTCGAATTCCAACTCCCAAGTGCTCAACTGTTTAAGTTAATGTATGGAAATGATGTTCAACGCCAAATGACGCTGGCAAAAGAAAGTTTTGAGCTTTCCCCTGGTAAAACAGATCCACCCAAGTCCAAAGGTGGCCATTGTCCTTACTAACCTAGTATAAACCAAACGAGGGTAGCCCGATATGCCTACATCAGCTCACCAGGCGAGAATCTCCCTGACGCTGGGCACAGAAGCACCAACTCTGCAATAGAATTGTGTGTGTATGGAGCCCTGCCTGAGAAACACTGGGTTCAAAGACCACTAAGTCTATTAATAAACACAGCAGGTCCCGTGCTGGGTGCTTGAGAGCTCAGGATTTGAGGGATCCCCCTTCCCACTCCCCGGCAAGAGTCAGTGCAGAGCTCCAGCCTGTCTTGGTCTTTATCTGCACTCTTCCTTCCCAGGGAACAAACGGAGGGGCAGACCTCCCAGGCTCTGGGCTCCCCAGCTTTTGGTTGTGCGCCAGGGCCCCAGGAATCTTCTTGCAGTACAGGGTGACAGTCCCTTTTTGGCTGCCACGTGCAGACCTAGGAAGGCAGAGGCCCAGCAGCCCTCACCAGGCTTTTTCTTTTTTTTTCTTTTTTGCTGGTTTCAGTCTTTTTTCTGCCTGAGTGAAAATGAAACAAACAGCAGCCATGCACACATGCACTCGCACTCACGCACTCGCGCGGCGGGCCTCCCAGCGGTCGGTGTCCGGGGCGGGGACGGGCTTGGCAGCGACAGCGGCGGCCGGCGGGGCGGGGAGCTCGCAGCCCGCTGTCCAGCGCACGCCGCCCGCTCGCGCTCCTGCCCTCTGTGCGCTGCCCGGAGGAGGCGCCGGCCGGCCGCGGGCCCTCGGCGGGAGGGAGGCGCGCACCCCGCCCGGCGCGCCCGGCCCGGCTCCCGCGGAGCCAGCGCGCAGATTGCTCGGGCTGCGGAGCGCGCCGCCGGGGCCGCCAGCCGAGGCGTGGTCCAGCCTCCGCGCCGCTGACCGCGCCGTCCCTGGCTCCAGGTTCTGCGGATCAGGTGGGTCCCGCCGGGAGCCGGCCGAGCCCCCGAGGCGACGAGCCGCGCGCGTGGGGAGGTGGCCCGGCACCATGCTCTTCGAGTGGGTGGCGGGATGGGAGCTGGATGGGCCACTGTTCGAGCCCTGCCCTGCCTTGGTCATTGCTTTTGTTTTGGTCACTTCCACTATGTCCAGATCTGACCCAGTCGGTCCCCATCTCATGCCTGTCGCTGCCCCGTCCAGCCTCCCAGACTAGGGCCTGCGGAATTGCAGGGCCCAGTCACTCCCTATCCCCTGAGGACGCAGGGTAGAAATGGGGAGGGCGGGGTTCTCCAGGGGCCACATGGTAAGAAGGAGTAAGCCTTGAAAGGCAGGAGGGGGTCCGCCCCTACTCTGGCACAGGACAGAGGAATGGCTGGCAGAAGATGGGAAGGGGGTGCCGCTGAGGACTGGGAGGGAGGGCAGGGGGAGTGGGAGGAGGCTGAACCCTTGAAAGGAGAGAGAGGAGAGAGAGGAGAGAACCGAGCCAAAACCCAGCCCAGAGAAAGTTTCAGACACTGGAAATCTGGCAGCCAAAGCTATCGCTGCGTGGGGTGATGGAAGGCAAACCGGTCCCTTCAACTTTTCAAGCCACCTCGTTTCCACTCCAAAGGACACCACCGCGCGTTTGAAAACGGTAGGAAGCCAGTTAAATAAAACGACGGCTCAAACATCCAAGAAACAGTAAGGAAGGAAATATTTCAGGGCGAGGGGCGGGGGTGGGGGAGAGCAGAGGTCTTAATTCCCCACTCTTCCCTCCCTTGAATGGGCGGGGGATGCGGGACACGCGGAGATTGTCAGCTAGGCTCCACCCCCGACCCCCTCAGGAAGGAACCGAGACCTACAGACCCACGCTGCTGTGTTTGTGGCTTTGCTTGCCTTTTACAGTCCGGGCCTGAGCAGCCCTGGCTACCTCTTTCGTTTACCTAGAAATAGATTTGTCTCAGGAGACAGGAGATGCAGGGTGGAGTCCTGGCTTTGCTGCTTCCCAGCTAGGAGACACCTTCCCAGGCCGGCTGTCAGGTTCCTGAACTGGGAAATAAGGATAGCGCTGGAGACCTCGTTCACAGGCTCTGAGTAAGCAAATGCTGACTGCTCTGGCGTCAGGGGGTAGGGGTGTCAAGGATATGGTTAAAGTCTGGGCTTTCTGACTACATCAAGCAGTCTCTCTTCTTCTGAGTCGTTTCTAGGAGTACCTAGCCTTGCCTCCCAGATGGGGAATGGATTCAGGTCCAAGTTATCGCTATTACAAGAAACAGGTGCTCAATGACTATGGGAGGGCTGAAAGCATCCCTAAGGATTACCTAGTGTAGGGGCCTAGTATCGTGGCCCAAGTGCTACATGGCTGGGGAAGGGCACCTAGAGGGTAGGCTCTGGCATTTCTATATTTATCTTTATCTCTTCTCTGCAGAGGAAGTTTTGGATATTTCTCATATCTAGCTGGATCTGATCATTTTCAGTGGAGTGAAAGCCCAGGTCAAGAGGCAGGCAAAGTGACTGGAGTCAGGTTCTCCAGGGGCTGACCCTTGCCAGGAACCCTGTCTCCTTGGTCATAGCCAGGAGTGGCCTTTCCCTGGCCAGGGTGGCTCTGAGCAGCCCATTTCTCCAGCACTTAGCACTAGCTCACTTAGACGCCAAGGCCAGCGCTCCAGGGCTGCCTTCTTACTTTTTGGGAAAAAAGGCACATCTAGGCTGTTAGTGGGAATTTTAAATGTGCGTTGGTCTAACAGGTTCCCCAGCCTAACAGGATAACTCATCTTCTAGTTGAGGAAATGAAGGTTTAGTGAGACCAAGTGTCTTGCTCACTGGCCCTTGGCGGTTAAACCACAGTGAGATCTGAATGCATTTCTGACTGACTAAGGCTGTGTCCTTCCCCAGTCTGCATCTCTCCTGATGACTAGGAAAATGGCCAATGGACAGATGTGATAGAGATGAGGGCAGGGCTGAAGAAGAATGGCTGCAAAGGGGATGCATTACATTGGGGAACAAGCATTTATACAGGTGCATCCATAGTGTAAATACTGTTTTGTTTGAAATGAGTATATTTTCTGCCCTATGATTTCTGTTTATCTTTAAGTGCTTTTGGTGGTACCAGAATTTGAACTCAGGGTCTCAAGCTTGCCAGGCAAGTGGTCTATCACTCAAGCTACTCCCTCAGCCCTTTTTGCTTTTGTTTGTTTTTCAAATATGGTCTTGGATTTCAGTCCTCTTACACCTGCCTTGGGATTGCAGGTGTGAGCCAGCCACCACGCTGGCCCTTCAAATGTTTAATTAAAGTATAATTTTGCATACATGAAAAATATTTTTTAAACAAATCTTTTTTTAAAAAACCATTCTAATTAGCATATATCAGTTGTGCAGGGGTTTTGTTGTGTCATTTCCATATATGCTTACAACACACCTTGGTTAAATTTACCCTCACCATCATTCTCCTTCATCCCTTCCCTCCCTACTTAAAACAATTTCAACAGGTTTCATTGTTTCATTTTTACACAAGTGTATAAGCACATCAACCATACTCATCCTCCTTTACCTTCTCCATTCGCCTTGCCCCTCCCACTAGCACTCTTTCCCCGACGGGACCTGTTTTACACTTCCGTCCTTCATTTTTTAGTGTACATTCATTGTTCAAAGGGTTTCACCATAGTATTTCACCCATGAAAATATCATACTTTAATCAAATTAACCCCTCTATTACGCTCCCTTTCCCCGCCCCTTCTTATTCAATAGATTTTAGTGTGTTTTGTTATGTCATCTTCCTACACAGACACAGTATATTTCAGTATTGTTCATGCTTTGTCATTCTCTCTTCCTCTCCCTCCTTCCCATAGTCCCCTCAAATGGTCCCACTGTGACAAACATGTTCTATATAAACATATGTATCATGTTTGTGTTTGTGCATACGTTTATCTTTTGGGTCCGTCTTTCACATGTGAGAGAAAGTATGTGACCTTTGTCTTTCTGAACCTGGCTTACTTGACTTAACATGATGATCTCCAGTTCCATCCATTTACCTGAAACAACATAATCTCATTCTTCTTTATGGCTGAATAATACCTCATTTTCTTAATCCATTTATCAGTCGTGGGGCATCTGCTGCTTTCATAGCTTGGCTATTGTGAATGGTGCTGCAATAAATATGGGTGTGCAAATGGCTCTAATATATCCTGACTTACATTCCTTTGGATATATGCCCAGGAGTGGTCTTGCCAGATTGCATGGTCATTCTACTTTTTAATTTTTTTGAGGCACCTCCACACAGCTTTTATTGGTTGTACTAATTTACATTTCCATCAACAGTGTATGAGGGCCCCTTTTCCCCTGACTCCTTGCCAACATTTGCTGTTCTTTCTATTCTTCGTTACAGACATTCTGACTGGAGTAAGGTGAAGTCTCAATGTCATTTTTATTTACATTTCTTTTGTGGCGAGGGATGTTGAGCATTTCTTCATGTATTTGTTGGTGATTTCTAATTCTTCCTTTGAAAAATGTCTGTTCAGTTTATTTGCCCATTTCTCCATTGGGTTGTTGGTTCTTTGGAAGTTCAGTTTTTTGCGCTCCCTCTAAATTCTGGTTATTGACCCCTTGTCAGAAGTACAGCCAGCAAAGATTTTCTCTACTTCTATAGGCTGTCTGCAGTCTAGTGACTGTTTCCTTTGCTTCCTACAGAAGCCTTTTAGTTTCAAGCAGTCCCATTTGTCAATCCTTTCTCTTATTTGCTGAGCTATTGGAGATCTATTCAGAAGTTATTGCCTATGCATACAAATTCCAGTGCTTTCCCTATTCTTTTCTGCAGTAGTTTCACAGTTTGAGGTCTTGCACTGAGACCTTTGAGCCACATTGAGTTGATGTCGATGCAGGGTGAGACAGGGTCCTAGTTTCAATCTTCTACAGGTGAATAGTCACTCTTCCAGCACCATATGTTGAAGAGGCTCCTTTCTCTAATGTGAGCTTTGGATGCCTTTGTGGAAAATTAAGTGGGTGTGGCCGTGAGGATTTATCTGTGGCTCTTCTATTCTGTTCATTGGCCTTCACATCTGTTTTTCTGCTGGCATCATGCTGTTTTTATTGCTACGGTTTTGTAGTACAGTTTGAAGTCAAGTATTGTGATACCTCTTTTTGCTCAGGATTGCTTTGGCTATTCCAGGTCTTTTGTGATTCCATATAAACTTTAGAATTGATTTTTCTATCTCTGTGAAAAATGTCATTGGAATTTTGATAGGGATTTCATCAAACATAGATTCCTGTTGGTAGTAGGGCCATTTCACAATATTTATTCTGATACTCTATGACATGGGAGATCTTTCCATCTTCTGATGACTTCTTTGATTTCTTCAGTGATTTATAGCTTTTCACTTCCTTAATTACATTTTTTCCTAGGTATTTTTTTTGAGGCTATTGTGAATGGGATTGGTTTCCTGATTTCTTTCTCAATCTGTTCATTGTTGGTATGTAGAGAATCTACTGATTTTTCCATATTGATTTTGTATCCTGCTACTTTGCTGAACATGTCTATGATATTTATGAGTTTTTGGTGGAGTTTTTAGGGTCTTGCAGGGAAGGCTCTTATGATCACATCATCTGCAAATAGGAATAATTTTACTTTTTCCTTCCTTATTTGAATCCCTTTTATTTCTTTCTCCTATCTTATTGTTCTGACTAGGAATCCCAAAACTATGTTGAATAGGAGTGGGGAGAAAATCTACAAATCTTAAGTGCTTGGCTCAATGCATTTTGACAGTCGTTCATACCATCATCCAAAATGAGACATAAAATATTTATACCACCCTAGAAAATTTTCATTTCTGATTAATTTTCCTTTTGCCCTCTCAGGCAATGATTTTCTGATTTTATCACCCATCGATATTTTGCCTGTTGTTGAACTTCATGTAGATGGACTCGTATTGTATGTATCTTTCATGTTTGGTTCATTTCATTCACTGCAATTAGCATTATTATTTTGGGGGTGGTGGTTTGAGAC